TTATTATTATAATTAATAACCAAATACAAATGGGGGAACAAAATATTACAATGTTAGAAAATGAAATTATTAATTAATTTATATTGAAAAATAAAAGATAAATTAGGGAGTGGGGCCGTGTGGGCTCAGGCCGTGGGTTGTGCCAAACCGACCCCCCCAAATTATCCTAGAGGAGGGAGGCACGGCCCGGGATGCCTTGTTGGGCCAGCACGGCACGACTCACTTTGTGTAGGCCACATGCGAGTCGTGTCGTGCCGACCCAGCACGACCCAATTTACACCTCTACTTGAACCCGCCCAATACTGGGGACGGGGCAGGGAAATTCAAGGATTCTCCATCCTTGATGAGGAGTGGGGTGCCTTGCCCCTGAACTCGCCTGACAATGAGTGGTTACCTTGCCCTGAACTCGTGTGACGCTAGGGACGGGGCGGGGATGGGGTAGAGTGTCTTGACTATGGGACAGGGAAAGGGATGGGGTGCCCTGCCCTAAACCCACCCCGTTGTCATTCCTATATAGTTGTTAATTATTAGTGGAATTAATAAAAATGTTAGCTTTTATAATTATTTTTAGTTAGTTAGAGTTAATCAAAATTTATTTTAAAAATAATAAAAAGAATAAAATTTATTAAGATTACTACAAATTATTAATAAAACTAAGTTTATTAAAAAATATTTGTTCATATTCAATTAACAATAATTATTTTTTATAAATCAACATTAAACGAAAAATAAAATTATTAAATCTTTTAGATTTTCCCGTGCATCACACGAGTTCCTGGTAGTATGAAATTAACCCATAGAAATCGTATACAGTTCCTTATTAATTATATTTAACCACTTGCTAGCAGTAATCCAATCCTATGAGTTGTGACGAGATGCATGGAGATCTAGAGAGAGAGAGAGAGAGAGAGAGTCCTATGGATTGTGATGAGATTTACTGAGATCTAGAGAGTGGGTAAAGGGAGGGGGAGGTATTGTGTTAGCTCTGACAAACTATTCATTGGTTACAAACTGTTCACGAAAATTAAGGAAGCGTTTAGCAATTCTTTTTAAGAAGATCTTCCAAAAGCTCAAGACCTTAAAAGACCGGTGAGCTTTCACAAGTAGATCTTCAAAGATTAAAGACCGTTTGGTTGCAATTTTTTTAAGATTTTTTCAAAAGCTAGAAAGACCGTTGACAAGCATAAATATGGATGGCCATTGGGGATAAGGGATAGGGGGAATAAATATGGATGGCCAATGGGGGGGGGGCAACCATTGGGGTGGGGAGTGGGAGAGGGGGAAAATATACATGAAAAGTGGGGATTTGCTGGGCCATAGGGGGGCCATGGCTCCTTGGGTTCCCCCTGTCTCCACTCTCCACCCCCGGATTAAACCTATTCATAGGCCACGCTAGGCTTTGCCTTTATATCTATGGAACATATTCAGGCCCAAGCCTGAGCATGACTAGACCATTGGGCCTAGATCTTGAGCCCAACCCTGGCCTATAAAGCCCAAAGCCCGGTCAAGAAATTGAGAAAAAAGATTTGTATTCTTTATTTAAGAACAAAATTGATTTATTTATATTAAATTGACTTCAAAGCTGAAATTTTTATTTATTGTTTTATTTTATTAAATTAAATATATTATTATCCATAAATTTCTACATATTTTAAGTAAATCTTTTTTCCTAAAAATTTTAAGCTAAAAAATTTATCTTTTGCAAATTCATTTTTTCCTATACAGTAATTTAGTTTTGGAAAACCCTGGAACACAGGGCCCCTCTGCTAGAAAGATGCATAAAAAATTTAGATAATGATGCAATGCTGTGGCTATGATTTTAGAAGCACTGATTGTTTGAATCATGGATTCTCAGAAGATCACAGATTTCCTGTCAAGATTAAAATTCCATTTTTTGAAAATACAGAAAATTTGCTGATTTTTTATTAGATGAAATGAACATCTTTTTCCTCTTCTACTTAAAACATTGGATGGCAGATTCATTTTTTGATAATAAAGGAGAAAGAAAAATGAAGATAAAGAAAAGTAAAAAAGCCAGGTGATAAGATATCGCCAATGAGAGAAAGGAAAAATATGATCCCCTGCAAATCCAGCAAAAAGAAAAACCCCTATTTTAAAATAAAATTCCATCCAATAAACCCCTTGCCAACTTCTAACAACTGACCAATAGAAACAAGTCCACCCTCCAAAATCTATTCCTCCTTAAAATAAGTATTGTCATTTGAAATCACCCTCATCCCTATGACAAAGCCACCCTTTTACCTTGTTATTCTTCTTCCCAAAACGCCAGCAATTCCCACCTCCTACTTGAGATTCACTCTTGTACTACCAAAAAAAATAAAGAGATTTTGGGTGAGTTGGCTCTCCTCTCATCTCTTTCTACCACCACTACTGCATGTAAGCTCCACTCCTCTCCTCTCTTCTCTTTCTATTTGCAATGTCATCTTACTCCGCATCATTAGGAGATAATGCATGGCATCATTTCTTTCTGGTCATTTTTCAGACATTCACCAATCTTAGCAAACCAATTACCACCCTTCAATGTCTTCTTCTTGTAGACCTTCTTAAACTTATTACAAGGACCAGCCCCATACAGGCCATATTTTAGTTGAAAAGAAACTTGTATGATACAAATTAATCTCCAATTCTTAGAGCTCTTATTCTTCTTCAAATGCTGATTTCTTTTTCTACGTGGCAGATTTCTAGAACATGCATTTGATTTTTGAAAGGTTATCTTTTGCAGGTTAAGCTCAAGAACATGCTATACCACACTGCCCGCATAAACTGCTTGGCTTGGTCTCCTGACAACACCATGGTTGCTACTGGATCATTAGATACATGTGTCATAATATATGAAATTGAAAAGCCTGCATCAAGCCGAATAACCATAAAAGGTGCTCATTTGGGTGGTGTATATGGAGTGGGTTTCATTGATGAATGCAGTGTTGTGAGCTCAGGTGAGGATGCATGTGTTCGTGTGTGGAGATTAACCCCACAGTAACAAAGATGAGTGCAATCACTCAAAACAGTTTTCAGGTTTGCAATAAGAAGTTTGGTGATTGTGCGATGTTATCGTACATTTGTTTTGTCCACAGATTGTCCATTGCACAGAAGTGGGAAAAAGGAAAAGGAAAAGGAAAAAAGAGGGAAAAACAAGTGATTGCGTATTGTTTCTTCTTACAATTACATTTCTTGTGGCATGTAGTGTTTGGTAGTGAAGGATGGGCTTTCTTTCATGCTTTCAACCAGAATTTCGGAGTATTAAGGTGAATCAGTAATATCTATTTGTATAGAAGGGCTTTGATGTATCCATCTCAACAAGATGCGCATTGTCCTCTTGCCAACAGTTGGGGGCTGACGGCTGAGTTTTGGTTATTCTGGGGCTTTGCTATGCTGCGGCTTGGTTATTGTGGTATGGTAGTTCTCCTCTCTTTTCATACCAGTGGTTGCCTATGATTATAATATGACGATGGTGATGAATCCTACTATTGTCCAGCTACTTTACGGATCATACCTACATAAATTGAAAGGGCTATCGTTATAGCTGTTTCTAATAAGTAATGATTATTATGTTGAGAATATATTGGCATTAGAAATGGAAAGCGAGATGGTTGAAAGTTATTATATATATTTTTTTTTTTCTTACCTGTAACAGAATTTGATTTGTTGTGATTTCTGTTTGGTTTGTTTAATTTTGGTGTATTAACGGGATGACAGTAAGCTTGTTGAGTTCATACCTGGTTTCCTTTTTGTCCTTGTGGATATGATGTTCTTAATTTAGGATTTAGAATTCGTTTTGTTCTTAACTTCTTATGAACTAGGAATTGGTGAGTAGAATAAACATAGTTAGAGAAAGAAACATATGGGAGCTTATTTGAATTTGTGTAGTCCTACTGTGAATCGTCAATTGCTTAAAACAGCAAACATAATTTGGGCTTTGTTGGCAGGGAAGGGATGGCAATAGGCTGGTCAGCCATGGCTCCCATGGCCCACTAGGCTGTGTTCGGCCTGTATCGGTGCTTTTATTTGAAGTTTTTTTTTTTTTTTAAAAACCGGTTCAGAGGGGTTGGTTTAAGTCCCGGCTATCCTCTGAACCTTGGTTTGACTTGATACAACCCCCTGGAGGGCCATATCAGGAAGCCATTGGCACGATATGTATTGGCCGATATGGGCCGGGGCCGATGTGTCGTACTCAGGGAAAAAGAAGGGAAAGTGCAAGTGCCATCCCAACTGTTGTCTTTAAGGCCTGGTTGATTTGCCGGTATCTTGCGGGGGGTAAGTTGGTCAACTGGGCAATTGGTCAATTTCTCTGCATTCTTTTGCTGCTTTAATGGGTTCCATGGTAAGTAAAACCTTTCAGAGACTACCTGATATCCTCCTGGAAGGTGGATAAGTTGTTTATTCATCCACTGAAAATATTAAGGGAAAATTCCTCATCAGCACCCTGTACTTGTCTCAAGTGACAATTTGGTTTTCGAACTCTCAAAATGTGATAATTCAGTACTTGAACTCCTAGTATTTTTTATTCAAAAAAGTTGGTGATTGTTTAGAAGAATCTAGAATTTGGGACTGTTCATTTTATTGTCAATGTTTAGATGGTTGATAAAGAAAATTAGATGACATTTTTAGGGCATTTTTGACTTTTCAAATGTTACTTAACGGTTGATTAACTTTCTGGTTAACGAACTTTCATATTTTGAAAGTTCGGGTATTGGATTGTCACATTTTAAAAGTTTGAATATTGGATTGTAGCATCTTAAAGTTTGGGACCAAATTGTCACTCGGGGTAGGTACTGATAAAGAATTTTTCCAAACATTAATTCTCTTGCGGGTTAAGTAAATACATGAAAAACACAGGTAAGAATAACTTTTGCTTAGGAAACACTTCCTGATAAATCCACTTACCCAGGCCAGACTAGTAAGTGAAAACGAACGGGGTCTAAGTCATACCTGATGGATTTGTGGAGTTGTATGAGAGACGAGACGATGAAAAGTGAAATAGTACTAGAATGGATTTGGAGCAGGGGCTGGAATTACGTATTTACCCTTTTTTATTGGCAGATAGGTAATTACCCTTGCTAGGTTCAGCGGATCCTACAAACATGACTTTTAAGAGAGACTGACTATAGAAGGGAATCGTCAATTGCACACACGATGACAATGACACGAAGAAGGATCGTTATCGAAGTCGGACCTATTCCAATTGAAAAAACTGGTTATTTGATATTTCAATTCTTATACAGTTGTTGGGATTGGGTATGGCCCGCTCCATTTCGTGCCCTACCTGAGTATCCATGCTGCATGGCTGCATGCTGAAGAGGAGTAGGCCCGCTCCATGCCCTACATAGTTGTCAATATCTAAAAAGAATGGTGCGAAAATAGAACCGGGCTATTTATTGGGAAAGATTTTTGAAAACTCTGGTGCTTCCGTGGTTTGTTATTCCGTTTCTTTTCCTTCATTACTCGTCTCCCGCCATTTTGAGCGAAGAGAGATTGGCATAAGCGGATAAGCATGAGTATAAAAAAAAAAAAAAAAGGAAAAGAAGAAAAGATTGAACTCATTAAAGGCAAATCGTAGCAAAGAACCTTTCCAATCCATTCCACCCCATCTGCAAATAGATTCCGATGCAGCACTCAAAGCTTGTAAAGCACGGCGCCACACTCTTCAGCATCGATACTCAGTTAAAGAACAAAATTCTTCTCTGTCAAGGCTTATTTTCATTAGCCCTTGACATTCTAATATTCGGTGGAAGCGCCTTGGTAAGATTTAGATGTTCCGTTTTCATGTCTTACCGTTTTTTATTTGGTCGATTCTCAGGAACCATATTATGTATGTTTGAAATCTATTCCAGCTCCAGTCCTCGAAACGGTTCTCGGTGAGTGTCACGCCATTTAGGAGCTGATGTGATTCCGTAATTGTTGGTGTTGAGCCTAGTCCGTATGACTGTGCACTTAGGTGCTCTCTCTAATTGATTGGCAACTGTCTTTGTTTTGAAAAACAAAATCATTCATGTTGGCGAATACCCCCTTAATCTAGTTGATTGGAGCGAATATGTGTAAGAAGAAACGATGATGGCAAAAACACTGGCACACCTATAAATATTTTATGGAGGATGATAGATGTATCTTCAAAGTTAAAAGCCATGTATGTTTTATTAGTATATTGGTGCTTGAAGACTTTCAGTCTCGAATGCATGTTTAAGTTTGCTTTCTTATTTTCACATAGTTTTGTGATATTGCATCTGATCTTCTCCACGTCCATCATAAGTTGTACGACTCATCCAAGACTATGCTTTATCTTGATGTCCTATGCTTCCCATGTTAAAACGTCAACAATTAATATTCTTAAGTATTTTCATCTGATATTGTTTGCAGATAATTTCTCTAGGGCACTTTTTCAAGGGTCTAAAGATGAGCCATCTACTATAGCTCCTCAAAACAGTTAGTTCCTTTTCAGTTGACTTTTCATGATTATGTTTCCTCTCAATTATTCCATGGGGAAAATTAGTTTACAGGGTGGTACCTGTACTTCGGGGGTAGTGAAACAGGCCTCAAGTTTCACTTCCGACAACAACGTACTTTCTACGCCTTGAAACATTTAAAAATCCCCAAATGAGATTGTTTTGCCCTACCCTAGTTCTTAACCCTTTCTTTCCCACCAAGGATCGAAAATTGGCAACGTATCAGCCGATTCATATCGTGTTGGCGACCCCTTGATACATCCTTGTTACAAGTGTTTCGGGGTCTGACCTTGTTCAAGGGGTAGATGGGCCTTAAACCAACCCCCTGAACCAATTTGAAAAACAAAAAAAAAATCTAGTAGAAAAAACATACAGCGCAACACGACACAGGCGGATACGCTGATTGGGGCGTTTCGGCCTGTATCAATATTTAGAACCTTGTTTCCCACAATCTGTGCATTAGCGATGCTCATTTCTGTCATTTTGCAATTTTATTTTCTCAGCTACTCACACTGTGAATGGGCATGTCAAGAAGCAACTGAAACTTGAGGCCCTTAAGCATCATTACCCCCAAATTACAGGGTACGTCCCTGTAATTTTTTCCCTGTTCATTAACAACTACTGGTCTCAGGTAACACTGATGATTCCTTTTTTGAAAATAGACTTTTTTTGGGGTCTTTAATGGTTTTTTAGATGTACAGAAACTCTTTTTACAGAGAACCATACATGCATACTTTTGATTTCATACTTAATCTTCTAAAAAAATTACAATGTACTTTACCTTTAAAAAAAATTGTCATGGTATCAGGTAACAGTAGTGATGTGTTATTCTTCAATAAGTATTGCAAGCCTAGAGTGCTTCTTGACTTTGTCTTGGAATTTTATCATGATGTTTAATTTTTTTAACTTGGGCAATTGATACACTTCTAAGGTGATTGTTGCTTTTAGGTTTAGTAGTCCTGGAACATAAATACATGATCTCTATACAGATTGCAAACATCATGATTAATATGATTAACATGCATGGGGTGGGACTGGCAGCACAAGTCTAGTTTCTTCCTTCTGTGTTATTTAAGGCCATATTTTCTGTACAAGAGCGGGCTAACAAATATTCATTCATTGTCTGATTTCAGGGTCTTTGGGGCCTTCCTCTTCTTTATTTAGAACCTTTAGATAGCTCAAAGCATTTCTCACTGGCAAGATGCCCTTACAAGGCCAAATTGTCATAAAGTGCTTCTCTAGTATTTTGCTGGTTATTGCTACCATTAATTTCACAATAGTAATGTAACTTTTAGTTTTGTTTCTCTTATGCATCTCAAAATGTTCATGTCTGCAATAGTCATTTTATGTTGTTTCTTGATCACTCGCTAATTTCACTATCATCTTATGTCGTTTCAATATAATTGCTTGTCAACTATAGACTTTATGCACATTTCCACTTCTAAACAATTGCATATTTCTGCTTTATTCACGTAGCTCCAATTCTATTGATAGACTAGTGGATAGACAGGTGGAAATTGAGAAGTCTCTTGGATTACTTTTTTTTTTTTTTTTTTTTGGGGGGGGGGGAGCAGTAGTTAGAAAAGCAATTGAATAATTTGAAAGAAAAAAGAAGGGAAAAGTCTAATAAATCAAGAGTTTTGGGGGAAAGGAGGGAAGGCATGGGATGAAGGTGAAGGGGGAGAGGAAGGAATAGTGGATGAAGAATGATGGGGTGGTGCAAGGCAGCCGTTTAGTGGGGGGGTTGCTTTTTGTTGCCTTCAAGGTTTCGCTTAAAGCCTCTAGTTTCTTGGTCCAGGAAGTAAATTAGCCTGTTTTTGCTTTGCGGTGCAATTTGCACAGTGTTTCAAACTATGGGTCGAGGGTGTTGTTCTGGTTTAGCTTTTATTTTGTCTCTGGTTTCATCTTGGAAAGTTCTGGATTCATTCCTACTTGTTGTTTTTGAACTCTTTGTGGCCTTTGTTGTGGAAGTTGTGTGGTGATTTCTTATCACCCTCTTGGTTTGATGTAATTATTTTTCTTTTAATAAAATTTTTATTTTATCTTCAAAAAAATATATATATGACAATCATGTTCTTTCTTATCTTCAAAAATGATGAGTATGACAAGGCATTTCCATGATATCACGCTAATGTCTTTCAGCTATTTCCACTGCCAAGGCATTGAATAGATTGATCCTGGACATGATGTCTCTCTCACTCACCTGCAAGCATTCTGAACCCATAACTGTAGTTGCAGAAAGGTAATATTTTAATTCTCAACGTCTAAATCATGGTAGTATTGCAACGAATGA